GGCAATAGGGCAGCAATGGGCAAACTACGGCCCGGCGGACCTTTTAATCCGGCCCCACGGAGCTAGGCTCCCGCTAGGCTCCTCTCACAGTTCGCCCTGAAGACCGGTGTAGCATGAAAATCTGTCTCCTATGAGGATCTGTCCCCCTCGACGTATTTGCGCATGTGCCGGAGATCGCCGATCGGCTGCTAATGCCTGAAACTGGCACATGCGCAGATACGTCAAGGGGGACAGATCCTCATAGGAGACAGATTTTCATGCTACACCGGAACGGCGCGGGAACACGGCGAGAGGAACGCGCGGAGCAAAGGTAAGTGAATTGACACAGGGGGGGACTTAATATGGGGGATGAATTACTATAGGGGGGATGAATTACTATATGGGGGGATGAATTACTATATGGGGGATGAATTACTATAGGGGGATGAATTACTATATGGGGGATGAATTACTATATGGGGGATGAATTACTATGGGAGATGAATTACTATATGGGGGATGAATTACTATATGGGGGATGAATTACTATATGGGGGATGTATTTTCAGTTTTAAAAATGTGGCTCTCAAAATAAATTTCAATCGTGGTTTTGGCGAGATTTGGCTCAGTTGAAAAAAAAGGTTGCCCACCACTGACCTAAGGCTATGATTGTGATTATGACGATACACTGTGGCCCTGATTAACCCTTTGCTTACTGGGCCCTTAAACCCCCTTCATGACCAGAGCGCTTTTTGCAATATATGCAGTGTCGGATTTGTTTTAAATGTTGCAATGGTTTTGCGGCTCCCAGTCTTTTTTTCCCTCTCGGAAACGGGTCCATGTGGCTCTTTATGTCTTAAAGGTTGCAGACCCCTGCCCTAGCTAAACTAGGAGGGTGCTACATAGATATGACCTCCTCCCCCCCAAAAAATATGGATTTCTAGTAAAATGTATGTAAACCTCCCTCCAAAAAAAAAAAAAAAACAAATTACAGTAGTTTCAGCATCACGCTTCACTATATTCAGTTTTCTTCAGCTTTGTTGCACACCTGGAGATTCTGCCAGTTACAGCAATTCCTGGTGTAGGCAAACAATGCTGTGTAAGCCTTTGGTTAGCTGTTAGGCTATCTATCAGATAGGCAATGCACAGCAAGCTGAAATGGTTTGCAGGGCAGGCTGACAACCTTGCTGCTAATTGTGAGGCAGTGACTAAGGGTTCTATTTAGAAACATTCACCGTACAAATGTCACAGCATTCACATTGCCATCGGAAATACCCTCTATTTCCTATGATCGGCAGCTCCATCTAGTGGCCATAACACTTTAATTTCCTGTAATACCTCAATCAGGAAAATACGGCATCATGGCCATGGGATGGAGCTGACTATCGTAGGAAATAAACATATTAAGACATATTATGGGTATTATTTATGATAGCTGTGTGAATGCTGTGACATTCATAGAGTGAATTGATTACACAACATAAATAGGTTCCTTAGTGTTGTCTGCCTACAACAAAAGGTTGTTGTTTGCATGATCGCTAGGTAAGAAACTTTGCAGCAGAGTCACAAAAAATAGTTTTCTTATGGGTGGTGTCTTTTAAAAAAGAAGATCAAACTCAAGAACTTATGGAGTACTGGGTTCAGATTTTCTAAGGAGCCTCGAAAAAGGTCACTAGGTACACTGGATCTATTTTGGCAGCCACAAAAATGGAGACACCCCTTAGAAACAAGGAAAGAACCTACAGTTGAGCATCCACACACATACAGTTTTAAAGAGAGTGCCAAACAAATGTTCAAGAATCCAAGGTTACTAACACTGGCTTTACATGCCCTACTAAAACTGCTCCAAGCAGTAAATCACAAATTTACATGGTATCTGCTTACCTGTTTAACCACTTCACCCCATATGACGTACCCGTACGTACTTGGTTTGAAGTGGTAATACCAGGATGATGGCTGCAGCGATGGGCTTTACTGTACAGGTGATCCAAACAGCTCTACAACCAAACGATCACTTCTAGGGTTGTGGAAGGTCCCCCCACCCTGCCACCTGCCATCTTTACTGGGCTCTCCCATGCAATTGGGGAACCTGGTACCACTGCCACTTGGTGCACTTCTGATGTGAGATGGGAGGAAGGTATACCCATACCTGCCTCTCCTCTGTGATGTAAGAAACTGGAAGCAACAAGGATTTAGTCACTTATGGTTTTGGTTTGATGTTTACAAACTGTTACCAGCTAGAAAATGTTTTGATGGCAAAGGAGAAATCTGGGGTCTAATAAACCCCAGATCTCTCAGTAAAGAGGACCTGCCACTTCCCCAGCTATCACAAGGGATGTTGTTCATCCCTTGGGTTAGCAATAAAGTTGATAAAAAAAATTGTTAAGGGTCATTGTAAAAAGATTTAAATACAATTATAAAATTAAAAATGCATATGCAAGTGCCGCAGGCATATGTAAATGGTAATTGCATCATGCATGTGAGGTGTCAAAGCGAGAGCAAAAAATTATTGTACCAGACATCCTGTGGAATGCTAAACTGGTAACCTGTAAAGGCTTTTAAAGCATTGCCTATGGAGATTTTTAGGTAGTGTAGTTTGTCCCTGTTCTATGGACGTATGCAGCTGGAAAGCGTTGGCATGTTTGGTATTTATGTACTTGGTTTAACATCAGCTTTATTATTTTACCAAAAAATGGGTATTATTTTGTGTTTTGTGCACACTGAAATTCATTACAGTGTGTATTTCCTGAACACTTTCCAGAAACCCATTTTATTCTCCAGGGTCTCTGCTTCCAAAAATATATCTTTTTTTTTGGGGGGGGGGGGTCTAAGTAGCTTTATAGCAAAGAAATGATGATTTTACATGTATGTTAGAAGTGCCTGAATTGGCCCAGGGGTCAAGTGGTTAAAGCAGTACGCATCTCCTCCCTCCCATGTTTTTTTTTTCCTCTTACATGTGGTGCTTGCCCCTATAGTATAAGTACTGCTACAGGGTGGCTGGGCTGCACAAAATCACATATATATACATGATTTGCATTTCTGGGTAGAGGGCGCGTGCGCCACCCTACCCACACCACCATGGGCGGCTATGGATGTCAATCACCGGGTCCTGGGTGGAGATTCCCCACTAGCATCTCACGATCACCGAGTAAAACTGACAGGGGAGAGACCTTTGTGTAAACAACACAGACCTCTCTTGCCAGCAAGGACATGCCTATGTGTATTTCTCTGCACAGCAAAGAAATACACAGCAGCATGTTTCCCTAGCTAAACACACACAGCAAAGACATGTGCAGGATACATTTTGGCCAAAATTTATGAAGAAATTTGATTTTTAACATTTTTTTTACTGGATATGCTTTATAGCAAATATTGTTTTTTTTTTTCTAAATTGTCAATCTTTTTTTGTTTATAGCGCAAAAAATAAAAAATACACAGGTGATCAAATACCACCAAAAGAAAGCTCTATTTGTGAGAAAAAAGGGACATAAATTTCATTTATGTACAGCATTGCAAGCCCGCGCAATTGTCAGTTAAAATAACGCAGCGCAGTAACGCAAAAAAAATGGTTCGGTTAGGAAAGGGGGTAAATCCTCTGGAGTGCAAGTGGTTAAAACACATATTCCAGCATTGTCCTGCTGCAATTCACTGTTCAGGTCCCACACACACTGATGAAGGGGGAAGAGTGTTTGACCCCCAAAACGCATTGTATTCACTGTCATGAATCAATTTTATAATTAAAAACCTTGGACTCTTGGTGCTCTCATTGGACTGTATGTATATTATAAAAAAGATGACAATGTGATATACACTTACTGGATATAGAGTATATATATGACAGAGCAATATAATCAGGGGTACATTTAGGCGGATTCTCTTGGGAAAGCAGAATCCCAGCAGATTTGTCCGTTCGCTGCAGTATAAGGACAATATTTAACATAATCACACCACTCAATAGTTTCTCCACTCATGAGACTCACAACAGACGGACTTCAATTCCCTACGGTTCCTTTTATTTTGTGCATCAGAAGAAGGAATCATGGTGTCAGCAAGTGAAACTTGGCATGGGGGAAGGGAGCTCAATTTATCTAAAAACGAAAGCGTAGAAGAAATAAAGGACGCTAATTTAATCCAGGTACGCAGTCATTAAAGGGTATGTAAACCTCAACCATGAACTTCGTTTAGTTGAATTGTTTTGGTACGGGGAATATATCATTGGAAGAGTTTTGTTTTATATATTTGATAAGGAACAAAAAACACTTGGTCCTGCCAGAAATGCAGTGAGTTCATAAGTTCCTGTGTTCCCTGTCTCTGTTGCATGGAAATCTTGACTCTATACAATTCTCCTCTGTGACCTACAGAGCATCTTCCTCTATGTTATGAAAATGAACAAAGGGGATTGGTTGTGTGTTTTTAACGTAGCCTCCCTAACGGTCTGATTATGTCTGTATTTCTGTGCTCAAAGCGGTACATTTTTTTGCATGGAAATATGTAGTTTTTTTCTATTGTAGGCTGTAATTTTTAGGAATAACTCACTGAAATCTGTCCGAACAAGAGTTTAGTAAACATCCCGGGTATGTTAAAATTTGAATCACAAAATCATAAATTATAATATAATAAATAGTCATAAAAAAAATAATAATATAATAATAATACATTTAATTCAATAATATAATCAAACCAAAAACACTGAAATTTGAAATATAGCGCCAAGTTCACACACCGCACAGCGCCAAGTCGCAAAGTCGTTTTCCGTGTCTGATGACGAATTTTCCCACGAATCATTATCACTCAATTCTGCAAGTGGTTCTGATTTACTATCGCTGTTCTCTAGCCGGTCTAAAACCGATTTTGACCTAAAGGGACGCTTTTTGGACACCATGGACTTTTCTCAGTTTCCAGGCAGAAAGAATAGTAAAAATGAAGGCAGGGCACAGGACAAAGCACTCGGGACAAAATGTATGTGAAATGGTTTGATACAGTAATGTTTTACTATGTGATTTTAGTGTATTTAGTGAATGTCACTTTTTCACATTTTTAAATTTCCCACCGTTCCGTCCCCCATACGTCCTGACGTCGCAGGGAACCTAGAAGATAGATGCCGGCATCGGGCAGAAGCCATTGCCGGGGACACTGCAGGAGGGACATCGTGAGAGCGCAGGACAAGATAAGTGAAGAAGAGATCCCGGAGCAGCACTGCAGGGTATTCCCGAGTGTAGCTGGGGGTTACCGCTTGTGTTGCTGAAACTTTACCCCGAGCTACACTCGGGAATACCTCCTGGGAGGTTAATTCCTGTCCTCCATAGATACAGTGTAGCCAGTCAGTGTTGTCACCCTAGGACAAGAAGGAGTCAGTTGCTAAAAAATTTGCTGGAACAGTGGTCTTCATACTGAGGCCTGAGGGTATGTGTATGAATGTAGGTTAGGGACTTTAGACTGTACGCCCCTTGAGAGTTAGGGACTGATGTGAATGTACAATAAATAAATATATATACTGTATGTAAAGCGCTGCGTACATTGATGGCGCTATGTAAGTACCTGAAATAAATAAATAATAAAAAGCAACCTTCAGCCTTTATCTTGCCTTTGGGGCACTATTACTGAAATGGTTTTCCACCCTAAAGAAGTGGTTTTCCACCCTAAATAAAATAAACAAATGTATATTTATATATTTAGCCATCATTCTAGTTCCTATAAGCTGCTATTTTATTAACACCCTGAGTGATACTATTAACAATATTAGCTATAATAATTAAACACAGTTTTCTCAAAGAAACTGGAAAAAAGCAAAAAAGGGTGCACTCTCCTCATGCATTACCGTGATAAAAAGGAATTTATTGAAAATGACAAAAAGTGTGTAATCACAAGCCAAGAGTCATAAAGAAAAGCAAGGAACCAATGTGACAGTCGCAGCAAATATTGGTCTTGCGACAAGGTGTGCTAACACGTTTCGGGAGACAAGCTTCCTTCCTCAGAGCTTTTATTTATGACTCTTGGTTTGTGAATATACACTTTTGTCATTTTCAATAAATAATTTTTTATCATGGTAATGCACGAGGAGAGTGTGCCCTTTATTTGCTTTTTTTCCAGTAGTATCAAGATTCCCCGATCGTTAGAGGGTTGCACCTCAGCGAGTGACTGGTACTGTGTTTCTAAGACATGTATGGAACTGAGCGCTGCTTTTGCTTTTCTTTCATGTGTTACAGTGCTCAAAGATGCAAAGGTCCTGTTTATTTTCAAAGAAAGTAAAACACTGACATAGAAATCTGCATTGCAATACATCCAGTTGAGCCCAGATGAGACATGAAGGGTCTTTTAGACAATAAAGAGAATCTGTCACCTAAAAATCACCACATAGGGGAATTTGTGTCCACCTATCTGGTGAAAAAAAAAAAGTTGCGTAAATTAAAAAAAAAATTTATTGCAAAAAAATAAAAGTTACACCCAAACACAACACCCCCCTAAAAACATTTTGTCCCCCCCATCCTCGCATATATGCATATATATTCTGATACACGTTACATATTGCCACGCATGGGCGGAGTGAGAGCAATAATTCTAGCACAAGACCTCCTCCGTAATGCTAAAATGATGACATATAGAGGCTTTTGAAGCACCGCTTATAGAAAATATAGGTTATTGAAGTTTGTCGCCATTTCATAGGCACACACAAATTTAAGGTTTGGCATGTTGGGTATCTATTTACTCAGCGCTGCCTCGTCTTTTATATTTACCAAATTTTGGTAACTAATTGCATTTGTTTGCCCTAAAATAAACTTTAGTGCATTTTTAACTGAAATTTTGTGTTTCCTAGACATTTGCGATAATATCGTGTGACATAAAAAATTGGAACTACTACTATTTTATTCTCTAGGGTGTCTGCTTTCAAAAAATATATAACGTTGGGAGTTTTGTATAATCTTCAGGCCTAAAAATTTTTTTAAACATGTGCAAAAAAAATTGCAAAAACGGCTCGGGCAGTGAAAGGGTTAAAGCACTCAAAAACACCGCCCACATGGGCGTCCTTGGACCGCTCTCTATAGTCCTCTGTCCAATGAGCGACAGCTTGTAAACTATCAGGGCTGTCCTTGATACCCACCAGGAAGTATGGTGCTGCCCCAAATATCTTCCAGCAGATGGTGTTGTTACATGGCAGGCAAGTTCCTTGGTCCAGGTCAGCTTTCCAGCTCACAGATGGCCCTTTGATCTTGGTCAAAGCAAGGAAATCAGTCATTTAAATATCCATATCACCTGGAGGTCTGAGGCAATGTTTTCTTAAGTCCATGCCCCGATGCTAGGGGGTATGCATAACCTCTCTTCCAGACACATTCTGGAATGCAATCTTTTGTTACACACACACTGTGGTGTAATCCGGTTCTACTAGCATTCGAAGATGACTTCCAGCAGTGTCCAGAAGGCCCAAGTTCATCCAGGCCTTAAGAGTCCTGAAATATCTGATATAAAAATGTTGCACCTTCCAACAATTACTCCCACTGATACAAGGCACTATTACTCCAACTGACACCAGCAACGTGGCACCATTCCTTCCACTGACACCAATAATGGGGCATAATTTCTTCCACTGAAACCAACAATGGGACATAATTCCTCCCACTAACACCAACACTGGGGCATAACACCAACAATGGGGAATGATTCCATCCACCAACACCAGCAATGGGTTATAATTCCACCCACAGACACCAACAATGGGGCATAATTCCACCCACCAACACCAACAATGGGGCATATTTCCTCTCACCAACACAAACAATTGGGCATAATCCCCCCCCCCCCCACATACACCATTCCTCCCAATGACACCAAGGATGGGCCACTATTCCTCCCACTAATGCCAATGATGGAGCACTATTCCTCATAGTGACCACAGGCGCTATGTAATTGTTTAATCCCACTGATCACCATTTCTCAAAATGTTTGGAGATGCCTGTGCTAGACAAATGTCACAAGTAATCACCCAGCCCTCATGAAATCTGACCATTTTTGGTTAAAACGTTGATTTCCTATGCTTGTCAGCTCCATCCAGTGGCCATCATTATTTATTTTTCCTGATATACCTTAGTCAAGAAAATACTACGTTAGGGCCACTAGATGGAGATGATGAACATAGGAAATCCTTGCATTAATCAAAATATGATTAGAATTTGAAGGGGCTGGGCGAATTCTTGTGACATTTTTCTGTTTTTAATAGACCCGTAAGTGTGTTAATGGCAGGATCACAGTAGAAAATAAAGGAAAAAAGATGGGATAAAGAAAATGAAGGCAGCTGCCATAGCCAAGGACTGGTGCACTGCAAAATATACATTTTTTGTTTTGGGGTTTCGATAAATGTTAAATATTTTTTACAAAACCTGAATATGTCTTTGTACTAGCCTCCTGTAATCCACTGCAGGTCAGCGTTCAGACTAGGAGAGAAAGGGGCAGCATTTAAGCCAGTTAGGCTTTACAGTGGTGTCAGCCTAACATACAGAGCTGACTGTTAGAAGGAGAAAGCACATAGAGGACTTCCACAGTGAGCTGCTGTTCCTGAATTATCCAATCAGTCTTGACCAAGCTATATTGCTTGACTACAGCAAAGAAAGGTAAATGGTCAAGACCGACTATGATTTCTGAATTTAAAAACTGGCAAAACAAAATACATATTTTTTTGGCAGGTAAGACAGTTCACAAACATCTATTTCAAATGAGTATTTAGCTATCTGCCTACAAAAAACACTTTAATGTTTTGATTGAGCTTGTGCCTGCTTGTGTTGCATGTACTGAGCTGACAGCTTGGCTAGCAATAACACGAAGTAAGAATTTCTTAGAGAATGGAGTCACAGGAGCTACAAGAAAATATTTACACTTGGCTGCAGATAGACCTAATCCGTAATAATAGTGCAGTAGTTGCCAATTTACTAGATAAAGGGGCCTCCAACTGTGGGCCTTGGCATTCCCAGGGGGCGCACATAATACTCAGTGTATGTATTTGTATATGGTATATCATCAGAGATTTCTGATTTACAACAAGATATACTCAGAACATGCTATAGGTGTAATGCTGAATGCTGAATATGTGCTGTAGAAGGCAGAGACTGCCAACAGATTGCTTTTTCTAAAGTGAGATCCCACCTCCAGCACACATATTGGTTTTCTTAAAATGAGATCCCACCTCCATCACGCAAATTGGTCTTCTGCTGTGAGATCCCACCTCCATCACACAGATTGGTCTTCTGCAGTGAGATCCCACCTCCAGCACACATATTGGTCTTCTGCAGTGAGATCCTACCTCCATCACTCAGATTGGTCTTCTGCAGTGAGGTCTCACCTCCATCACACAAATTGGTCTTCTGCAGTGAGGTCCCACCTCCAGCACGCAGATTGGTCTTCTGCAGTGAGATCCCACCTCCATCACACAGATTGGTCTTCTGCAGTGAGGTCCCACCTCCAGCACGCAGATTGGTCTTCTGCAGTGAGATCCCACCTCCATCACACAGATTGGTCTTCTGCAGTGAGATCCCACCTCCATCACACAGATTGGTCTTCTGCAGTGAGATCCCACCTCCATCACACAGATTGGTCTTCTGCAGTGAGGTCCCACCTCCAGCACGCAGATTGGTCTTCTGCAGTGAGATCCCACCTCCAGCACACATATTGGTCTTCTGCAGTGAGGTCTCACCTCCAGCACGCAGATTGGTCTTCTGCAATGAGATTCCACCTCCATCACACAGATTGGTTTTCTTAAAATGAGATCCCACCTCCATCACGCAAATTGGTCTTCTGCAGTGAGGTCCCACCTCCAGCACACAGATTGGTCTTCTGCAGTGAAATCCCATCTCCATCACACAGATTGGTCTTCTGCAGTGAGTCCCACCTCCAGCATGCAGATTGGTCTTCCCCAGTGAGATCCCATCTCCAGCACACATATTGGTTTTCTTAAAATGAGATCCCACCTCCATCACGCAGATTGGTCTTCCCCAGTGAGATCCCACCTCCATCACGCAGATTGGTCTTCCCCAGTGAGATCCCACTTTCAGCAAACAGATTGGTCTTCCCCAGGAAGATTCCACCTTCAATACACAGATTGGTCTTTTCAAATTGAAGTCCCAGTTCCAGCACACAGATTAATCCTCCCCCAGTGATATCACACCACCAGCACACAGATTGGGAAAGCCAATCTGTGTGCTGTTGGTGGGATCTCACTTTGAGCAAAATAAACTGTAGGCTGGTAGTGTGATATCGCTGGGGGAGGATTAATTTGTGTGCTTGATTTGGTCCAATGTTA